ATGACTCCTTTAAGATTATGCAAATGTGTCGCGTAGCTTTCGGTTTGACTATATCTCCTTTCATTTTGGCCGCCACTATAAAATATCACATTCGAAAATATAAAGATAAAATGCCGGACAGTTTCCAAATGTTAAATTCTTCTGTCTATGTCGATGACCTATATTTTGGAGCAGGAACGGTTGAAGATGCATATCGGTTATCTGTAGATGCGGTTAATATATTTAAGGATGCTGGGATGAATTTCAGAAAATTAAGAACTAATTCTAAAGCATTAAACGATTTATGGGTCTCAGAATGGGATTAAGGAATCAGATAACAAATTAACTAGTGAATCGAATTTCTTAGGCATGATTTGGAATTCCATTGAAGACAATATAAAGTTAAATTTAAAAAAATTTAATTGACTTTTCTACTGGAAACGATTTTGCTACAAAAAGGAAACTTTTGCAAAGCATCGCCCAAATATACGATCCATTTGGATTTATTGCACCCTTTGTTATTCGGGCAAAAATTATTATGCAAGAAATCTGGTGTTCCGGTTCTGACTGGGATGAGGTCCTTCCTGCAGAGATTAAGGACAAATTCAACATTTGGCGGGAGGAACTTAATGATTTAACTGAAATATCGATACAGAGAAATTTCTTTGATGACGATCCAATGAATATAAGCCTTCACCTATTTTCGGACGCTAGTCCTAAAGCATATGGGGCCATCGCATATTTCAGATATTGTACGAGTGATTCTAAAATTAAAACTTCCTTTATCATGTCGAAATGCAGAGTTGCACCTTTAAGAGCAATCACGCTTCCTCGTTTAGAGTTAATGGGAGCACTCGTGGCTGCTCGAATGTATAAATATTTGAAAAAATTGTTTGGTGATTTAATTGAGGATGTTTATTTTTGGAGTGATTCCGAAATCGCCATTACTTGGATTAAAGGTTCGCCAAATAATTGGAAACCATTTATCGCCAATCGTGTTACAGAAATACAGAGTATATGCAACAAAAAATTGTGGAACCATTGCGAAGGAAAACAAAATCCTTCCGATTTACTAACTCGAGGAATTAGTGCTCAGTCACTAATTAAGAATGATTTGTGGTGGCATGGGCCACACTGGTTACGTTTTCCTACTTGAAAACTTTCCAAAACAAAAGAAATTAAAACCAAATTCAGAATCGTTGGAGTTAAGAAAAAGTATTATTTTGACTGCACCTGTAATTAACAATGAATCCCCAATTTTGCATATAGAAAAATTCAGTTCTTTAGGAAAATTACTTCGAATTACTGCCTATGTATTTAGATTTATTGGGAGGCTTCGGAAAAGGTCTACAGGGAATGGACCTTTAAGTGCTTTTGAGATTAAAGCAGCTGAACATTATTGGGTAAAAATTACGCAACGAGAATCGTATCAAGCGGAAATAATTAAGTTATCAAATAAAAAATCAATTCTCGATTCTTCCATCTACTCCCTTAATCCAAGGCTTGATGAGGAGGGAATTCTTCGGTTGAAAGGTCGCATTCAATTTGCAGACTGTCACGAGAATTTAAAACATCCTATTCTATTACCCTCAAAATGCAAGTTTACCGAGTTGATCATCATGGACTCGCATGAAAGGGTATTCCATGCTGGAGTTAATTCGACACTAACTCAGATCAGAGACAAATATTGGATCATTAAGGGAAGACAGCGTGTTAAGACTATCATCAGAAAATGTGTGATATGCAAACGATATAGTGCTCGTCCTGGGGTACAGGATATCGCTCCACTTCCTCCAGACAGAATCCAAGAGTCGCCTCCATTTGCTGTGACCGGGTTGGACTTCGCCGGTCCATTTTTTACGAAAGACAGGCAAGGTAAAGTTTACATGCTGTTGTTAACGTGTGCGGTCACTCGTGCCTTACATATAGAGATAGTAACTGATCTCAGCACTGAAAGTTTTTTGCTAGCTTTCCGAAGATTTTTAGCTCGCCGAGGACTGTGTACCACCGTGTACTCCGATAATGCCAAGACTTTTAAAAGAGCTGATAAAGAACTAAAACATATTTTTAAAACTTTGAGTGACTCATCTGTGAAAGAATTATTTTCTGCTAGAGGCATAAATTGGAAATTTATTATTGAGAGGGGTCCATGGTGGGGAGGGTTTTGGGAGCGTATGGTACGAACCATAAAATCCAGCTTGCGAAAAATTATTGGTCGATCATCCCTTACTGTGAAAGAGCTTGAAACAGTGCTCATTGAAATCGAGGCAATGATTAATTGTAGACCAATTACCTACGTGTTTACCGATCCCAATGAACCTTCTCCACTAACACCCTCTCATTTTCTGGTTGGTAGACGATTGCTATCTCTGCCTGCTAATAAAATAACATCAAATAATTTGATTGGGTCAAGAAATTCAATTATTAAACGATATAAATACCATCAAGATATTTTAAATCATTTTTGGAAGCGTTGGAGATCAGAGTATCTTTTTAATCTGAGATCTGCCAATATTTGTCCTCCACACTCTAACGCATCTCAGTTTAAAATCAACGATATTGTCTTGATTCATGACGACAAACATCCCAGAAATCTTTGGACAATAGGTAAAATTTTGGAATTAATGCCAGGCAGAGATGGTAAAATAAGATCTTGCATAATTAAAACACCTACTGGTACCTTAAAAAGGCCTATACAATTGTTATATAATATGGAACTTAACTAATGTTTGTATTTTGTATTTTTAGGTTTGATTCTCCTGACCTTGCTGATAGGTATCATTTAATGTTTTGTAAAATTTTATGTGCTTATAATTATGTATGCATGTTTGTTATATTTAACCATTTCTCCAGGATTTATTGTCGAAATATTAATTGAATATTCTAGAATATATTATTGAAAGATGAACTCTCCACCGAGTTCAGGTGGGGAGTGTTGTGTAATTTGAAGAAAAAGGCTAGAGGGCGCTGTTGCTCGCTTAGTTGAAAGAGAATAAAGTTTGTTCATGTTGAAGGCGGCGGCCTAAGAATACGCTCTGTATATAGTAATTAAAATATTGTTAAAAATGAAAAAGTGTTAAAATTAATAAACCCACTGAACCACCATCATCTGATTTGGAGATGCACAAAATTATTAGAATCGTTCCCAACCACAATCTTAGAGGGAAGGTGTAGTGCCTGGTCCTTCAAAACTGTAGCCCTGAAAATGGTTAGCGCCCTCTAGGCGGAAAAAAGGGTAAGTTGGACACTGGCTTTCGGTGGAAGAGGCCGAATGCTCAGTGTGGTAATTTTATAAATTTAATAATTCTATTAACTGGTATATTTCTGTTTGTACAAAGTGTATATAATTTACATTGATTGTGTGAATAAATTAATAAGGTAAATCTGTGTCTATTAATTGCGTATAAGACTGCACACCGGCCACGGATGGATCTTACAAAAACACTAATAAGCTTTTTAACCAAATTACTGGAAAAAGTGAATACTCCAAAAATTATTCAGTTATAAACAATGGAAAAATATTTTAGAATAGATGGTTGAAGTAATCAAATTAATCAAAAAAGGCTTTAGAGGAGACAACCAAATTATTTACGATAAATACAATGGAAATTATTTACACTGCATAAAACTTTTAGTGAAATTTGACCCCATTTTACAATAATATATATTTAATTTTGCAATACTGCATTGGGTAAATCTCTTATTTATTAGCAAATATTTCAAATGAGTTTGTCAAAATATTGGTTAGGAAAGTTCAAAGTTTAATTATCTAGGAATTAAAAGAAGCAAAGTATTACTCCGTTATAGTAGATTTGATACCTAATATTTCTCATATGGATCAATTAACTATTACTGTTAGATACATTAACAAAACTGGAATAACCACTGAAAGGTTTTCAAAAATTTTAGAAATTACTGGCCAGTGCAGAAATGGAAGATTGTATTTTAAAGCTGTTATCTGATCTAAACATTAATTTGCAAGACTGTGATCAGAGTTGCCACTCAAACAGGAGAATGAAATTCCCTCGCTTTTCCAGGTGTACTTAAAGAAAATTCTATCTATCCATGTAGTACGTGTTGGCTGTGCTGAGAGGTAAATTAATTATGGAACCACTTGAAAACACACAAATTTGCCAATTACATATGACTTATGATTATACATATATAATCCCAAAGCATTACTATTATAACTATAATAGGAGTTGTTTCTGCACTGAAGATTGAGATTAGAACCTGCCCAATTTGGATTAAAAAATGTATTTTTTTGCAGTAGAAAGAAATCTATTTAATGATATTTTAAAATAAATTCAGGGTATTTTATATTTATTTAGCAGCATACATAAGCAAAAAATATGTGCATTAAATTTCGTGATAGTATGTCATTATACTGCTAGAATTATTTTCAGGATTATGCAAGAGAAAATAGCCTGAAGTTTGAAAGCGTTATTAACTAATAATAAATCAATTTAGAGGGAAAAAGCAACATTAAAAAATATGAATAACATTAAAATAAAGTTAATTACTTAACAATTAAATTACAATAATCAACAATTTTTTGGCGAATATAGTTATACTAAATAGTTAGCCTAGATGACTAATTACTATTTTTTTTATTTTACTGCAAAATGACAATTAAGGCAGTTATTAAAAAGGAAAAAAAAAAAAAAAAAAGGTTTAAAAGGTTTTGCGATAAAATTCTTGTATATGCTACAGCCCAATTTCAAAAATTCTCACCAATACCAAAATGACCCGTTTACTGTTCCGCACAATGGCACCAAATCCCATGTACTGGGATTAAACTGATTTTGTTTTATACCAGAATGGAAAGGTATTTTCTTTTGTTCAACACGTACTGCACATGCGCATCTCTCGATTCTCGAGGTTACTGTAATTTCGCTTTGCCTTTCTAACAGACAATCTAGAGCTGCGAAAATTGGCTTTAGGCCAGCTGCTTGAATAATAAGTTCAGGAGACACAATTCACAAAAAAGTGGTTGCTTCCAATGTTGGCGCAAAACTCACATTTTGGGGGATCACTGTATGAAATTCCCTGACTTTTCTGGTCAATTTTCAAATTCTCTGACTTTTTCCAGTCTTCCAGGTAGTGTAGCAACCCTGTGTGATAAATAATCTTATGATAATGCCTCTAATATGTTGCATATATACAACAGTCTCTAAGCAAGCATTAAATATAAAAACAACCTTGCCATTTACGTATGGTGTGCAGAGCATTCTTTAAATTTAATTAGAGAAAGAGTGGCAGAATGCTGCCTACAAGCAAGCAAATTATTTTTATTCCTACATAATAACATATATCATTTCTTTGCCACATCAACATCAAGATGGGACATTTTGAAATACACACTAGTACCAAAAAACAAATTTCCCCAAAATTTAAGTAATACTCCTTGATCAGCAAGAGCAGTGGTTTTTGGTTTTGAAAATTTTAAATATGCTTTGAATAAAATTTGTGAAGATAAATTTTAAAAGCCTGTTACGAAAGTTAAACCTCAGGTGTTGTTAAATGAACTGAACGCACTTGACTACCACTATGTCTCCAAAGCAGACTTGACGGATTCATTCATATGCCTCGCTGAGATATTTTCAGTGGGTAGGTGTTGATCTCGCGTTTACCATGTTATCAAGGGGAATTACATAGAATATTTGTTATTTATGTAAACAGAATTTTGAACTTCCTTTTACATTCTGTGTAATTCTTATTGATAAATTATTTTCAATTAAATAGTTATAGCCATTTGTAATCGCTATATTCATTTTAAATCACCCTCTACTGTACTGCTTTTCTACTCGCACTGTTTGCAATAGAACTATCATGCACTCAACTATTAGCATTAATGATTACTTAATTCCTTGGAATTTATAGATTCCATAGTATGGAATCTGTTGCCATATTTCTGTATGCCAGTATCTCTACTGTCATGCCTCAGTATAATTCTACAGTAAAAAATTCTAGGTTACTGCAAATGCTAGATTCTTATTTTTCCCAAGCACACTATTTCAGAAATGGAGCGATTTACACATGAACATAGAATATACACATATAATACATAACATTCTCTCTAATATAAAACTTTTAAATTGTTGCATGTAAATTATATCCATTTATGGTGTTATGTAACAAAAATAATAAAAGTAATTACCCTACTATACTTACATTAATCTATTTAACATTATAATTTTATAAACCAGGAAGATTTTTGCAATCGCTCTGTAGTACAAAATATATCATTGATTCAAGACAAATCAAATGCAATAAATCCTGCTTAAATGACACTCATGAGTATCATACACTTTCATAGTGTGAGCATTCTTCCCAAATTATAAAATCAGTGTTAAAAACTATCCCTAATATTTTTCCTTTCACAACATATCTCAAAAATATATTTCTGCCACACCTTTTTATCAATCTCATATTCATATTTATAGCTTTCTTCCCATTTAATGAATATAAAACACTATATCTTACTGATATGTTCATTTCAATTACCTTGCTAAATTTTTTTGAAACAATAACTTTCTGACATCAGTTTTATGTTTCAACAAATACACAAGACATTATTAACAAAGTTCTATGTCTTCAGAATCTCAATCAACCTCAAACACTGCCAGTTCCATAATTTTTCAATTATACTAAATCCTTTTAGACATTGCATTTAATAATAATAATAAATTCTGTTGGCTTTCTGGTTAAAAATAGTCTGCAATATTTATTGCCTCCATACCAAGACCCTACAGAAAAACATTACACAATCAAATACATCAAAATGCAATTAAAAAAAAAATAATGATAAAAATCAGAAATAATCCGAAAACAAAGACAGTAAGTAAAATATTTTTAAACACTATAAAAAGTAAATGAAGAGAAAATCACATTAAAGTCATCGTCCTCCCCACCAAAAATCTATCTAATTTTCATATACAATTCATAAACGGTATATCATGCTTCACATCATTTAACTTGATTAGACTTACCATAATATTCTTTTGGTGGAACTGGGACAATTTTTAGAAAATACAATAAAAATTAAACCACCCAACTGGTACAGTGGTTAGCACCACTGACTGCTGAGCCGAATGGCACGGGTTTGAATCCCAGAGAAGGGATGCATATTTGTAAATGTATAGTGTCGGTGCAGCATGGTGGCACTCTAAATATGTGGCAAGCTGCAAGTCCTCTCGTGTGGTTTGGTAAAAGGGGAGATGGATGGGAGACCCTTGGACCTATCTCCCACCAGGTGCTGTCCATCAAAACTGGTGGCTGAATTGAGCTAAATCGCACTGTCACTTGAAACGTGCTCAAGGCTGTGTAATCTAGCACTTCTTGCCACGAGGAATTTTGTGTCTTGGGCTGACTACGTCAGACAAGTGAGCATAAGCAATGAATAAATAAACCTACAGGAATAAGTACCTATGATTGAAAAGGCTAAATAAAGAAGTTGTTAACAAAAAAAAAAAAAAAAAAAAGAGAGAGTTAAAAGAAAATTTTAGTAACTTAAATTAACATACCTCAGAGAGTTATTAGCATTTATTGCTAGATTTAACTTTCTTTAAAGTGTGTGTGTGATTATGGCAAAGCCTCGAGGGCTATCTGCCTAAGGGGAGGGATGCCTTCGTGGAGGACTTTCTAAGGGAAACTGGCTCGTATACACGTTACACGTGGGGAAAACCACGAAAAAGCCCATGCAGCCAGCCCATTCGCGGGATTCAAACCTCGGACCGAACTACCAGTGTTCAGCGACTTTTACCGCTCGGCCGCTGGTGGGCCCCAACTTTCTTTAAAGAGTCTTTCTTCTTTTTAACAGCATTGCAAATCATGTTCATTAGTTAATTGTTTTAATTTTGCAGCTTAATAAAGCTTTTAGGGTTGATTCAGCCATTCTACCTCTTTCTTCAGACCATATGATATTCATTATTAAGAATGCTCTTTTGACTAGTTCCTGGCTTGCTGAAAATGTATTCTATTATTTAAACAGGACTGGGCATTGAAATCCCACCTCCTTTTGAAATGACTGAAAAGCTGTACCCATTTTTCTTCAAAACTGTTTTCCCAAGTTACATAATTAGCTGACCAAATAGCTTTTGAAATCACTGTTTCATAAAAAGGTTTGTTAATGTTTATTGTATTATTTACAACAGTTTCATTAATACTTTCAGGTGCAGCTTTAATTTCAGACCATGTATATTCACCATTGTTTAACCAAATAAAAAATTCTATTACAACACAACTGTTCTCCTATAGCTCAATGTAAGAATCAATGCTATGTAATCTCGAACTGATATTAATAGTTTCATTGCTTTCTACTATTCTAAAGGTCCGCCTACACGTAGCGATTTTCTCGGCAGACTTTGCCTTACCACGATATCCGAGATAGCTCGCCTGTCCACAAGGAACAATTTTCTCAGTAGTACAGGAATTCACTCAACCAATCACTGTGAAAGGAAGAATTTCTGCCCTCTACAGTGTCACACTGTCAACAATTGTGTAAACAAAGCTTACAGTGTTGTCAAATAGTCAAAATAATGGATGAAAATTTCCCTTTAATTGCTGTTTTAGCAACATCTGCAAATTTTGATCTTTGCTGCTGGCACAGAAGAAGAAAAAAAAGACTGGTTTGAACCAGAAATTGGTTCAAATGAGAAAAAATTCATGGTACACATAATTCCCTGTTCCAGAGTTGCATATTGAAGATACGGTAGAATTAAAAAGGTATTTACAGATTATGTCATGTGATTTTGATTTTTTGTTAAATTTAAATTGCAGCAAAATTGAAAAAACTGATACAATTGTGCGTTTCTTAATTTCGCCATCTGAGAGGCTGCACGTTACTCTATGCATTCTAGCTGGTGATAAGTTAATTTTTATAGTATTAGAAATTAACTAGTTGATTTTATTAAAATTGGTATGTCCCAGTCACTAAAACTAAACTATATGTGTAAACAACAGTTTTAATCATTATTATTTTCGTTTCGAGAAATTTTCAATGAATTTTATAAGTATTTCATTGCATCATTTTTAATGAAGTCATGTTAATCTTCTTTATTATTATGTTACAGGATGTTTCTATTCACATTATTACTATTAAATAACTAATACAGTCTGAAAACTATAATCATATGGTTATATCGGTTAATCAGCTAATGAAATTGAGCAATATTATTTTTAATTGTGCTGTAATTTGTTTACATCTATTAACACAAAACTGGTTTTTCTGCAAATTTTAACTTTTGAAAAGATAATATACATAAATACATAAAATAATTTTCACCATAAATGCAAAATATTTGTATATATAAAGTAACAGGGAAAATAAAACTTATCAATATAAAAGAATCTTTTTAATTTTTTATTGGTACTTACGTATTAATGCAACCAGGCCAAAATTCGCATAAATCGCCAAATTTGGCGACCCTACTTACGGCAACCCTACGTGTGTGAAAATAGACGAAAGTTTATTTGTAAAAAGAAAAAATAACACTGGGCGTGTACTACCACAGCAATGGGTTTTTGGCGGAATTTGCCGAGAAAAGAGACTTTTTTTGTTACTGTACCTAACAGAAGCGCCGTTACCCTCATGAAAAAATTTGCGAAAATATCAAGGAAGGAAGCATCATTTATTCGGATTGCTGGAAAGGATACAATACAAGTGAGTTCGAAAAATGCTGGATTTCTGCATGGAAACTGTTAATCACAAATATAACTTTGTGGATCCCAACACAGGCGTTCACACACAACATGTAGAGCGCATGTGAGGCTCAGCCAAATGGCGCAACAAAAAACAGAGAGGAACAGCCCGTCATCATCTTGACTCATACCTTATCGAATTTATATGGCGCCAAGCTCAAGCTGTTAATGGCGAAGACGGTTTTCAATCAGTGCTAAAAGCAATAGCCAAAAGATTTCCGCCGAAAAAATAATTCTGCAACTTATTCAAATTCAAAACCGGAAGGGTTTAATTGCTATTTTATATTTTAAAACAAAATAATATAAAAAACTGTATTAAAAATTATCTGTAATTAATAAATGTACATTTTCTTTCTATTCATACTTTTTTACTCAAACTTACAAATCACGCCAACCTGGTTGCGATAATACG